ATGCTGACGTAGAATATTCCCATTCATGTGAATGGAGCAAGATTTTCAAAATAAAGCTGAATATTTCAAAAGTATGAGGTTTACAAAAATTTTGAAGAGAAGCATGAATGTCCTTGAGGAGCTGAACATTTTGATAGCTGAAATTGTGCTGAAGTAAAATTTTCCCATTTATTTGAATGGGGTGAGATTTTGAAAATAAAGCTGAATATTTAAAATGTATGAAGTTTTGAAAAGTTTTGAATAATAGTATGAATGTCCTTGAAGAGCTTAACATTTTGATAGCTGAAATAGCTGAAAGTTTGCTGAAGTAGAATTTTCCCATTCATTTGAATGGGCAAGATTTTCAAAATAAAGCTAAATATTTTAAAAGTATTAAGTTTAGAAAAATTCTGAATAGAAGCATGAATGTCCTTGAAGAGCTGAACTTTTTAATAGCTGAAATAGCTGAAAGTGTGCTGAAGAAGAATTTCCCCATTCATTTGAATGGAGCAAGATTTTCAAAATAAAGCTAAATATTTCAAAAGTATGAAGTTTAGAAAACTTCTCAAGAGAACCATGAATGTCCTTGAAGAGCTGAACATTTTGATACCTGAAATTATGCAGAAGTACAATTTCCCCGTTCATTTGAATGGAGCAAGATTTTCAAAATAAAGCAAAATATTTTAAAAGTATGAAGTTTAGAAAAATTTTGAATAGAAGCATGAATGTCCTTGAAGAGCTGAACATTTTAATAGCTGAAATAGCTGAAAGTGTGCTGAAGAAGAATTTTCCCATTCATTTGAATGGGTCAAGATTTTCGAAATAAAGCTAAATATTTCAAGAGTATGGAGTTTAGAAAACGTCTGAAGAGAAGCATGAATGTCATTGAAGAGCTGAACATTTTGATAGCTGAAATTATGCAGAAATAGAATTTTCCTATTCATTTGAACGGGTCAAGATTTTCAAAATAAAGATAACTATTTCAAAAGTATTAAGCTTAGAAAAATTCTGAATAGAAGCATGAATGTCCTTGAACATTCTGATAACTGAAATAGCTGAAAGTATGCTGAAGTTGAATTTTCCCATTCATTTGAAGGGGGCAAAATTTTGCTGAAAGACACTAAATAGTTTAAAAAGTATAAAGGTTAGAAACAAGAAAAATAATAGCATACATGTCCTTAAAAAGCTGAACATGTCGATACGGTTTTCATAGCTGAAAGTATGCTGAAAAAATTAAGTGCCAAAAAACGGATGGAAGAAACCAGAATAATAATAAAGACCAGGATAACATAGTATGGATGCTGAATCAGCATCCATACAATAACTCAAAGTAGGGGAAGAAAGAAAAAGGCAGAGGGGAGTAGGTTATATCCTATCCTTAATGGCAATGAATAGTTTGATCACATTACTGAATAGTAATAGCAATATTCATAATAAAATCAGGTTGCTCACAGATGTCATGTTCAGAACACATCAGCTGTGACAATGAAGATAAGAACAAGTAAGCAAAACAACTATTATTATTATTATTATTAGGCTTGCCAAAGTTAATGTAATAATGATGAGTTAATGCAAATTCCTTTTAATGCCACAAATTTTTTGACAAGCAATTAACACGCATGTTCTGTGATTATGACCCTCGGTCCGCCCCGTAGTTTGGGAAATCGGGAAACGTTGCAGCAATAATGTTGTGGATAACCAGCAGAAACAAACCTCTTTGAGCAGAAATGGATAAAGAAAATATTGATTGGATTAGCAGCTCTTTGAAAGGAGCCCGATCTTATGGCTCTGTTCCTTTCATAGAGCCCTTAAAATTAATGTCTGTGATGCAAAGTAACTGCTAAAGTGCATCCGGTTTTGTGTCTGTCTTCCAGTTTGACCGAGGGCGGGGCTTAGCTACACACACAGTGTGCAGAGCAGAGAGGCGTCCAAAACCCCTTCCTCCATAATAGACTTAGAGGATATAAAAGCATATTTGACTGTCCATAAAAAAACACATTTTTGCCTTTTAGTTGTTTGTGAACACTAAAACACAAATCTGCTTTTGTGTCCATCAGACGGAGACCATGCTGAAGACAGCTGAGGACCTGGCTGGACCGTATGTTTGGGGTCAGTATGACATCCTGGTTCTACCTCCATCTTTCCCATATGGAGGCATGGAGAACCCCTGTCTGACCTTTGCTACCCCCACCCTACTAGTACGTACCCATACACAGAAGCCCTCTCTAACTGCACATGCATTAACACATCAAGCTCACTGATGGTGCTGAGATTGTCTGAGGTCACCTGACTTCTGTAACAGCATCATGTGATTGCTGACCATCTGTTTACTGTGTGTTTGTGTCTTTTCCAGGCAGGAGATAAATCTTTGTCTAATGTGAGTAATACACTTGTACTGTGGATGTCATTCATGTTACATGTGTGTTCATCCATGTTGAAATGATGTTTATGCTGTCAGGTGATTGCCCATGAGATCTCTCACAGCTGGACTGGTAATCTGGTGACCAACAAGACCTGGGAACACTTCTGGTAAACAAATACTCAGGTCTTTTCATGGCCAAGTCGCCTGGCCCTCTCAACTGTAGGGGTTTAGTCTGTGGTTTGAGCTTCTGTGTTTGTTACAAACCAGAATGTCTGAGAGAGTCAGCTGACTCCGTTGTGATCATGTTATGTTTGGTTGGAAAGTGAAGTCAGCAGCAGACATCTGTGGAACATTTAGAGCTGATGTTTCTGAATTTATTCCAGGGTTACTGTGAAATCAAAGGTATTAGAAAGGTCCAAAACATATTAAATGTTAATATTAATAAAGGAGAGTCTACAGTATGTAACCATTTCTTTCAAGGCCATGACTGTTTGACTTTTTATCTTCAGGTTGAACGAAGGCCACACAGTGTACCTGGAGAGGATGATTGGCAGGTGTATGGAGAGCGAACAGTTCAGACAGTTTAAAGCCATTGGGGGCTGGAAGGAGCTGCAGGACTCAGTGAGAACACACCAAATTCTGAACACAGTCTGAATTCATGTGTTTTTGGATTTCAGTGGGTTTTATTTTTATGGTTTTATACTTTTATACTATGGTTTTATACTACTGATTTTATATAGATATTGTACAAATTGATCTGAATTTGTTAGTTTTACCTGTCTGTTTTATCTCTCAGGTGAACACCTTTGGAGCCAACAACCCCCTGACTAACCTCGTTCCCAGTCTGCAGGATGTTAACCCTGATGATGCCTTCTCCTCAGTTCCCTATGAGAAAGGTTTCACTCTGCTGTATCACCTGGAGGAGCTAATGGGAGGCCCAGGTAACATGTCTTTACAATATAAAGTATATCAACATCTTAGCATTGAAAGTGTGTATTCAGCTGTTGCTTTTTGTTTTTCCAGAGGTCTTCATGGGTTTTGTGAAGTCATACATCCAGCTGTTTGCCTACAGCAGCGTCACTACAGAAGAGTGGAAGAACTATCTTTTCACTTATTTCAAAGACAAGGTGAGAAACACCTGGATGGTATCAGGTGGTGGTCTGTTTGTTAAGAGATGTGTAGGTGTGCCCACAGTGTACCGGCTGTCAGGTCATTATCAGGTATTGTGAACTGTGTAGTTTAGCACATGGCATCCCATAAGCAAATTGTGATTGGGCCATTTGACAGAATAAATCATGAGCACAGCAAGTAAAGTGAAAGATGGCCTTGTGTTTTTGACTGTCAGGTGGATGTCTTGAACAAGGTGGATTGGAACGCCTGGATGTTCACTCCTGGGATGCCTCCTGTAAAACCTCAGTAAGTGGAAACTGTCAGTGTTACATTAGCTCCCTGAATTCCTTCATAATACTTATTTAAATATTTACATTAAGGAATTCATTTATACCTGAACAAGTAGCTACATACTGTAAGCTTGGTTGTTCTAATTTATCTTAATGTGTTTTTTATCGTTGTGCTTTAGGTACGACACCACACTGGCTGATGCCTGCATCACTCTCAGCCAAAGGTGGATCAAGGTAATACCTGGACCTTACTTGGGCCTTTTTTAATTGTCTTTATGTACAGTTATGAAATGTCCACCCTCTGTCCCTTTTCAGGCCAAAGGCCAGGACCTGAGCAGCTTCAACAAGTCAGATGTGAAGATGTTATCATCCCACCAGCTCATTGAGTTCCTGTCCCTCCTGCTGCAGGAGGTAAACCTCTTAAGCTTGCATCAGTCCACTTGACTGAAAGTATGCCTCTCTGATACTTCCTGTCCATTTTTCAGGATCCTCTCCCTCTGGCTCATGTGAAGAAGATGCAGGAGGTTTATGATCTTAATGCCTGCATGAATTCAGAGATTCGCTTCAGGTGAGAGTCCTTCAGCAGGTTTTCTGTGGATTTTTCTTCATTTTAAACTGCTCCTTTCAATGACTTCCTGTTCCGCCCTGCAGGTGGTTAAGGTTATGTGTTCGGTGCAAGTGGGAGGAAGCGGTCCCCATGGCACTGAAGATGGCGACAGAACAGGGCAGACTGAAATTCACAAGACCTCTGTTCAGGTATTTATATTCATTTCACTTTACAGCCGATTCACTTAGTTGTGTCTTTCTTACTTTCTAGAAATTCTCAGATCCTCCATGATAGTTTGTAGATAGTGAAGTTATTAATTAAATTCACTTTTTGCATTGAAGTCTTTGTAGTAAGTGACTTGAGCATAGATGTACTTAGTGTGACGCAGTGTGTCTGACTCATTTTCAGGGAGGTGTTTAACTTTGAAAAGTATCGTGATGAAGCTGTTCGCGTCTTTATGGCTCACCGAGCAGCGATGCACCCAGTCACTTCCGGACTGGTTAGCAAAGACCTGAAGGTGGACACCAGCAAGACCACCAGTCTGTAATAGAAACCAGTCTGTCAAACCAGTATTAATAAACACAGTGACAGAAACCAATTAAAGTTCTACTTTCTTCACTTGTCCTCTGTGAGCAGTTTTTCTCAAGTGTATCAGTCATTTTATTTTCACTTTTGGTTTTCTCTGATGTTTTTTCTCATTTGATTCTGTAATGCCAGTGCAGAATGGAATTTGTTTTTGTTTTTACATTTTTCTGATTTTCATTGTTTTTAATTCTTATTTTTACTTTTTGTTTTTGTTACTTTCTGTTTCCTTACCAACACACTGAGAGCCTCTTGTAGTGGAGTCAAATTCCTTGTGTGTTCAAACATAATTGTCCATTAAAGATGATTCTGATTCTCAACAGCTGAAATCATTTATTTAGACTGCTATCTTAACCACCCAATAAGTAAACCAAGTAATATGATAAATTTTGAAACACAGATTGCATCAACAAAGACCCAGGACTGTTGCATCTTAAGACTTGTTTGCAGGAGTAATGGGGACAAAACACTTAATCACTTGGTGTCCTCAGTCCCTAAATGTCTTTTAAATGTTGTGAAAAGGAACGGCAGTATCACACTATGGTAAACACTTTACTGTCCCACCCTAACTCTCCTCCTCCTCCTCTTCCTCGCTCATCTTCATCCTTTCATGCCCTAACCTTAACCAGAGTAAACCATTAACTCTGAACACCTACCCAGAGTATGATACTAACCTTAACCATTCTAAAACCCTGGCTGGACTTGACCCTAAGGCTTACTCTCTCAACTATTTACCCAGCTGACACAAACAACACGAGGATTCAACCGTACCCATCACCAAACCCGAACAGGAACATGAAACAACAAAACATAATTTATTCCCTCGAAACCTAAACATGAGAAAACGATCAATGTAACAATTAAGGAAAGTAACATAGTACGGCTAACTAAATAACATGCACAACTCTGAAATGATTCAAGGCTAAATTTTTAAGAGAAATTTACCTGCTAAAAAGGAAAATATACCTACCTAAAAAATGAATGGACATTTCTCACCTGCAAAAAAGAGAATAAATTACTTACCTGAAAAATGTGGACGAAATATACTTACCTGGAAAAGGAAAAATGAATACCTACCTGAAATATGAATATTACCTACCTGTGGAAGGAAAACTACTTACCTGAAAAAAATCAAAATTAATACATTCCTGAAAAATGAATATTACTCACCTGAAAAGGGAAATCACCTACCTGAAGAGAGAAAAAGACTAACCTTAAAAAAGGGAAAATGCCTACCTGAAAATAAAAAAGACATATTGGAAGAGAATATCCACCTGAATAAAGGAAAAATACCCACCTGAAAAAT